GACTTTTGCGCCGGCACTCAGCTCGACCCGCTCGGCGAACCGTTCGTGACCAACGATCCCGTGAAATCATCGCGCGGAATCGGCGTAGGAAATTTCGTTCGGGGGAACTGCCATCGATCGCGAGCCCAGTCCCCAGCAGCACGGAAGATTTAGCCGGTCGTTGTTTTTGGCTCCTTCTATTTCCCGCTCCTCCATTTCCCGGGCATTCGTCTTCGGTGCCGAAGCCACGTTTGTTGTTCGTGAAAATAACACACAGAGCGCGGCGGAGCCGAGACGAACGGGACAACCGGGACGGAATAAGGTGAGTCAGTGAAATCGAATTCCGGAACAAACTTCCTTTTTCGGCTCGACTCGCTTTAAATTGTCCCCCCGGCGACCCACCTCCCGAGCAATTTTTGCCCGGCGAAACCCACCTTTGAAGCTACGGGCAAACCTTATTGCCCCGATTAATCGACCGTGGTCTCGGGCAACTTCCGGGTCGTTCCGGCGAATGTTAAACAACGCGGACGGATTTTATTTACGGTGCTCTGATCGGAATTGGTGTACGCGAATCTAACTATTTATCTGCCGATAAGATTTCGGATTTGCAGGTTTTACGCGTTTATGACAGAATAGACAGATTAAAATAATTGTAGTGTGTCGATGTACAGTAAATTCTCCGCAGAATACCAAATTTCGGGTTACTGTGAATTTCCCTGTAAGAGCTAGTGCTACGCCTATGTGATTTATTGCAGAATACCAAATTTCGGGTTGCTGTGATCTTCCCTGCGGGAGCTAGTGCTACGCCTATGTGATTTATCGCAGAATGCCAAATTTCGGGTTACTGTGATCTTCCCCGTGAGAGCTAGTGCCACGCCTATGTCATTTATCGCAGAATGTCAAATTTCGGGTTACTGTGATCTTCCCTGTAAGAGCTAGTGCTACGCCTATGTGATTTATTGCAGAATGCCAAATTTCGGATTGCTGTGATCTTCCCTGTGAGAGCTAGTGCTACGCCTATGTGATTTATTACAGAATGCCAAATTTCGGGTTGCTGTGATCTTCCCTGCGAGAGCTAGTACTACGCCTATGTGATTTATTGCAGAATGCCAAATTTCGGGTTGCTGTGATCTTCCCTGTGAGAGCTAGTGCTACGCCTATGTGATTTATTGCTACGGCAATGCTACCTCAGATAAGTAAACCGCGTAGCTACAATGTTCGCGAGCAATCGCGACGACCGTTGATCGTCGAATCGTGTCATGTGACCTCTGAATTGCCTTTGAATCGAGGCACGTGGCCTCCGAATTGCTTTCGAATCGTGGCATATCGCCTCCGAATTTTCGGTGAACAAGATTGGTGTTCAAGATTGTTTGCGTGTTGTGTGCGATGTTTAGGTGTTCAAGATTGGACGAGATAACTGCGACGCGAAATTCAAGACAATTCGTAAACACTGCCGTACGCCGTGAAGGGGCAGAGAGACGGCCATCTTTGAGCGAGCGACGAAGGTAACCAAAACCGCTGAGTCATCCTCGTTGCCCGGTGCCGAGCGGTGATTGGCGCTCGCTCGGAGATCGGCGGCTATCTCTCCCTCTCTCTCGCTCCCGCAGCGTAATCGTAGACAACATATGCAGATGTGCGACGGTCATCTGCGTTATTCCGTGTCAAGTCCTAAGTTGTTCTCTCGTGACTGTCTCTAATAACGAACGTCAAGCTATACTAGTTAATTAGTTAATTGCGCTCGTACCGAGATTCTCTACCGATCCTCACGCGAATTAGTGTACTTCGCTGTTCGTGTTAGCAGCACTACTGTGCTTGAATCAATTATAAACCGGATACTTGTGCCGTAAGAGATTCAAAGGAGTGTAAATATTACTTGTGTACTTATTGAAGGTATTTTCGTCGGCTACGCGGGTGATTATATTACAGAAAATACACGCTTCTGTTTCCTAACCTTCTTAAACAGCCCAGCTTCCTAACCTCCTTTACACAAAAATGGACAATTTGGGAAGAGGATTGTCAATAACAATAAAAACGAGCCGTCCGAATAATCGTACCTTCTTGTCCCAAATTGTCCATTTTTATTTCCAAGCTGAGGGACAATTAGGGAGAATTAACTGTATCTGGTAACCGATTCTCGCAATCTAACCAACAAATTTTGATTCCGCATCAAAATTCACACTCTAGTAATGACTAGATCGAAAATAATCGTACCTCTTTTCTCCAAATTGTCCATTTTTGTTTCCAAGCTGAGGGACAATTAGCGAGAATTTACTGTATCTGGTAACCGACTCTCGCAATCTAACCAATAAATTTTGATTTCGCGTCGAAATTCACACTCTAGTAATGACTAGATCGCATTCTACGCATTTCTAGCAAAAATGGACAAACAAAACGCGGAACTGTGAAGACGCAGGAAGAATTTACAAACACTGTTACATTACCGTGACTGTATTAACCCTTTGCACTTGAAGCTATTTTAACTGTAAATGTAAAATCATTTTTCTCACTTATGGTATTTTTATTTTATATGATAAAATGCATTTTATGCACATGAAATTGACCTGTCTCTTATACACATCTAGATGTGTATAAGAGACAGCTTATAGTATTTTTATTTTATATGATAAAATGCATTTTATGCACATGAAATTGACTTTGTTAGTATAAAAATTGTCTTAGAACGCGATGTAACAAATTTTCGTGGTGTCTCTGAGTCACCACTCGAGTGCAAAGGGTTAACATCGCCAAAAGAAAAAACACATTTTCCCCTAACTTCTGTTCAATGTAATCGACGAGGGAAAATTTTAGATTCGCATCAAAATCCGCAGTCCGGTAACGAGCCGGTGTGAACGAAATCGAAAGTGACGGTATTGATCCCGATGTTGCTGGAACGGTGTGGGTGTCGTTGACACCTCGGTCGACGTTCCGGCCGGTGGTAGTGGAGACATCGGAAGTGGAATAAGTAAGCGAGAACGGATGATAGGGAGAAATGAGAAAGGATTGGGACACCTGCAAGTGTCCGTCGTCCCGGGGATGGCTCCTGACGTAATTTTAGTGCTGAATCAGCAACTGCCCGGGAGTGAGCGATTCGTGAAGTGGAAAGTCCATTAACCGACATCCTGTTGGCCCCCTTTTTTTTTCTCCCGCCGGCTTCTCGCAGGCCATCTACAACCTCCATTACGATAATACAGAGTCCTTGTACTTTGGCCTAGCGACGGAAAAAGATTAGCCGTGACCCGGGGATAATATCGCGATGGAACGAATGCGGCGACCGATTTCACGCCCGGAGCACTGCCGAACTGTGCTAATATCGGAGATAACCGAGAACATTCGGAAACTCTTCGTGGAGCAGCTTCCAGCTAATATGCCTATTCGAGCCTTTCAACAGAAATTTGTTTATTAAACGCGTAGCGAGATTTTCGTACTTGTAATTTAGTCAACTAGTAAACGTAGTAATGAACGTACTAATAATTTAACCAACTAATAAACGTATGAATAATTTAATTAACTAATAAATGTGCTAATAATCTAATCAACTAATAAACGTATGAATAATCTAATTAACTAATAAACATACTAATAAACGTAATAATAATCTAATGAACTAATAAATGTACTAATAATCTAATGAACTAATAAATGTACTAATAATCTAATCAATTAATAAAGGTACTAATAATCTAATGAACTAATAAACGTACTTATAATAAAATCAACTAATAAACGTATGAATAATCTAATTAACTAATAAACATACTAATAAACGTAATAATAATCTAATGAACTAATAAATGTACTAATAATCTAATGAACTAATAAATGTACTAATAATCTAATCAATTAATAAAGGTACTAATAATCTAATGAACTAATAAACGTACTTATAATAAAATCAACTAATAAACGTATGAATAATCTAATTAACTAATAAACGTACTAATAATCTAATCAACTAATAAACGTACTAATAATCTAATCAATTAATAAAGGTACTAATAATCTAATCAACTAATAAACGTCCTAATAATTTAATCAACTAATAAACGTACTAATAATCTAATCAACTAATAAACGTCCTAATAATTTAATCAACTAATAAACGTACTAATAATCTAATCAACTAATAAACGTCCTAATAATTTAATCAACTAATAAACGTATGAATAATCTAATCAACCAATAATCGTGCTATTAATAATAGCACGTAATTATTTAATTATCTGTGTGTATAAATTTTATTCGTATTCACAGTAATAAATATCATCGTTTACGCTAGAATTACAATTTCATATGAAATTGTCCACAACGACATTTCTTCTCGTTACCTGAGAATTATTTTAATTATCAGTGAAGAACAGAATTTTGTTTTCACGAAAACGTAACTTGGAACGTCGACGAATACGACGTTGAAACACGACGAGAAGTTTCACCGATGTTTTTTTACGTTCTACGAAGAATTAACGAAAAATCGTGGTCATTCGAACGGTTCGCTCGAGGCTCTCCCCTTGTGAACAGTTAATGGAAGGCCGGGGAAAAATGTGGCCGAGGGCCGGTAGAACGAGGGTGAGAATGGCGCAAATGTGATTCCCGTCCGTTGAAAAATCGACGAACCGGAAGCTGAACTCTCTGGTACAACCTGTGTGTCCGTCGCCGTTCGCCGGTCGAGAGTAAAAGGTCGCGGGGAGCACTGTCCTTGAATCGGAGCCCCGGAACAGTTCGAAACGCGAGGGGATCTACAGGGTGTCCCGAAAATGTCTCGCGATCCGGAAACGGTGGATTCATTAGGTTATTCGAAGTAACTTTTTCCTTAGCGAAAATGCAAACCGCGGCTTCGTTTACGAGTTATTAATGAAAAACGCCAACCAATAAGAAGCGAGCTCTGCTGACGCGAAGCGGCCGAGTCAACGAGCGCGCGAAGCCCAGCTCCGCTCATTGGCCCGGCCGTCATTTCCGGATTACGTGACATTTTTGAGACACCCTGTATGTCGTCGGTCCTTCCTGTGGCAGCGATCGATGCCAACGTCCGGTCCGCAGCCTCGATTAATCGAGACAAGTTACTCACTGTCTTGATATGTCAGACGCGTTTAATCGCCGCCGAGCGAGAGACTTTGTTTGTCCGCCGGTGCGCATTCGATGAATCTTCCCGTCCGGTCGCGTCGCGTCGGGTCGCGTCGGGTCGTATCGGGTCGCGTCGGTTCTAAGCGCTCCCATAATTCATACTCGTCGCATCGGAATGCGACAGCGCGGCACCGCGGTAAATTTTCACTCGGGAATTCATTCTCGATGGTGCGATCTTTTCTGTATCCAATTCTCCGACCGATACGACGCTAGGTTTGCAGTCGGTTTTTACGTCGTAAATTTCAAAAAGGTTCGGATTGTTTAATTTACGACTGTTACTCTTGCGAGGCTACATTAACCGGTGTTCGGGATTTTTATTTTGCCGTCGATTTCGACGATCGAGGCGAGGTTCGGCCGAACATTATCCAGTCAAAGATACGCATCTAAGCGACCAGCATTTTTTTTATGAAAAAGGAACTTGTTCTCGCAGGTTTTTATATCCCAATCTGTGGAAACGTGAATACCGACCAACTTTTGATGTAAACATTTTCTTGTAAATTCGATATTTTTCCAGATATTTTGTTTCGTCTATTAACTCGCACGAAGCCATTTTAATTCTGAATCAACAAATCATTTCTTTTGATCTATACAGTATTTCTGTTTCGTATGACTTGTTGCATTTTGTGCATACGAAATTGAGCCTTGTGACTGGACAATTACACTTTTAACAGTTTTATTTTTAGATATAAACAGGTTGGACAGTGTAAACATTATTCTGATACACCATATAACAATTTTTACCTCAGAGTCGCCACTCGATTGCAAAGTATTAAAATGACAAGGTTACCTACTTCCGGAAGGTATTCTATTTCATTTAAGAACATCGCGTTACAAAAATATGTTTGGAACAGAAGCTGTACATTTTTCACGTAGGATATGATTCCGAAAGAAAAAATATAGGTTACGATAAAAAAGAAAGACAACGTTATTTTCCGTACCTTGACATAACCTTGAAAACGTCCACGCATTGAAAAACTAGTAGCGCCATTTGACTCTCCGCTTGAAACACTAGAGGACATGTGTCGATTTGGTTATTTTTTAGTCACGTGTATTCGGGATTGTCCACACGGGACCGGTGAACAATCAAGGAGATCGCAGCCGATTTCGGCGCAATTTTATAATCGAGGTTCGGCCGACGACGGTTTGATTGGGAGGGACGGGCCTACCATCTCTGAGCGAACGCATTACTCGATTACTCCGAGCTCCTTGTTTTGCACAGGAGAACGTCTTTGGGCGATGTGGTCACGTGACGAGTGGCAGGCATCTCGCTCTCGCCCGGTCAGCCTCCTTTGCTCTCTTCGTTACGAACCGTGCGAGTGTCAACACGTGCCGTGTTATTCGAGCTGTTAAAGATGTTCACAAGTACCTTGTGCATTCGTTACTGCGATAGTATCTTTATTGTTATTCTTATTACGTTGTTCGTTATCATTATCGAATTGTTAAGTGTATCCTTATCTATTATACAAGCGAATTACAGCGTGCAAAACAGTTTACACAGATTTATTCTCAAGACGAGTGCGTTCAATTCTTCCTCGCGTCGTGCCGTTTCAAACAACGGGGAACTTATTCGACGCATTTCCTGCCTCGGACAAATGCTAAGTCGCTAGAAATCCGGACGAATATATTATTGTTGCTTTTCCAGAGAGAAAAATCTGTATTTCCGCGTCACGTTAATTGAAAGTCTTTAATATCATTATTATTATCATTTCTTTAGTATTTATGGGTAAAATACTCGTTGTTACAGTCACGCTGAAAATGCAATGGATTCGTAGTTGATTCGTAGCAAAATTTATCTTGAAACGTATTGGAATTATAATTAGTTACAGGAATGATATAATAATTTACACTCTTCACAACTTTCTGTTAATAATTCTATTAATCGTAGAAGGCGCAGAACATGTTTTCTCTTTATAATATATCTGCACTGACTAACACGATTCGACTCGATGAATCGAATACAAACGAAATTTCATTCAACGAATCAAAACGTATCTTGTGTGAAATAAACAGCTATTTGTCGGATTGATTTTTGTGTTCCAGCTGACTCGTGAAATTCAACGAGACATCGAAGAATATTTATGGCAAGCGGCGAATACTGTCGTCGACGTTTTCACGTTGTGTAAAAAAAAATCGCCGAGAATCAGCTTAACTTGTACTTGTGTTTAATTCGAGCGCGCTAGACAGGCCAAACTGTGCACACTCGAGATAATTCGAGCGGCGTTGTATTTTATGCTGCTATAATTTTTCATACTCGAATATAATCGAGAATTGAAAATAACAATGTGAAAGCAAAGAAAGAAAATCGTTTTATTGATATTTATCATTGCAAGTTGTAATTGATATTTATCATTGCAAGTTGTAATTGATATTTATCATTGCAAGTTATCATTGCAAGCTGTATAACACTTATTTATTAAAGAATAAAATATAGCCTTTTTCCGTGGAATAAAAGCGCGGTATATCAAAATTCTTAAAAAATTGATCTTTTTTGGCCGGTTTTTAAAAAAAAAAACTGTGGGTTAAGGGGTTAACCCCAGGCGGGTTGTTGCTTGAGGCCGCCGAACCGATCGGGGGCCGGGTTAAGAACCGAAACACGGTTATCAAGTAATAATGAATGGTCACGGGCTGGCTGGCATGAATTATTCACGTACGTGCGCGTCGCGCGGCAGATAACTCTAAACTCGATTAAAGTTAACAGGCGATTTTACTCTGTGCGCGACGGCACAGCACGGCGGTGGGGCATCGCGCACCGTCGGACAAAAAGCTCGGGTCCGGTGAAAGCGGCCGCGGTGCGGCCGGTCATCGGAGGAGGGAGGGGGTGGGGGGAAATTAGAATGAATTCGCTCCGCGCGATCGTTCGAGGTTTTATAGATCGGGATTGTTAAAGGGGTTCATAATGAAATTAGCATAATAATGGGCCCCGCATAATTTTCCAACGGAGCTGCGGGCCGACCAGCGCCGCCGATCAGTTTAACCCGCTCGCTGCGAGGGTCTCTCGCTCGCTGGCAAAGACCGGAGAGTCAAATTTCATAATACAACTGAAATTTCGAGGTAAATCGTCTACCGCCAATTTCAACGCGACGCCCCCGGATCGCGGAAATTAGCTGTGTGTTAATGGTACACGCTTTAACCCTTTCCTGTCGGATGGCGTTTCTCGAGGGAAGCGGCACGACTGATCACAATTACGGCACTGTCGGGACAACAAACTTTTATGGAGACACGATTTTATACAGAAGTCTTTTTAAACAGAGGAAGCGTATACAGGGTGTCTCGCTTGACTCGCACGTTTATAAAATATCTCGCTTATTTTTCTATGATAAAATATATATTATTATATTATTGTATTATTATATTATTATATTATTATATTATTATATTATTATATTATTATATTATTGTATTATTGTATTATTGTATTATTATATATTATTATATTTTTTCAGATTTCAAGGGCATCGAAGCATTTTAAAATGGAACGATATCATTTTATTAGCGATGCAGGAAAGATAGAAATGATCGTGGAGCATGGCGAGGCTAAAAGTAACTCGAAACAAGGTCAATATGTCATTTATTCTGTCACTATTTACATCGAGTGCCCTACTTTTATGCATTTTTCGTACTCGAGGTCACGCGAAGGTCATACTGTTACAGCTCGTTCAATTCGTCTCGACCTCGACTCTCATATAGCGATAATAAAAATATACGATTCCGTTTAATAAAACGTCGACGACCTTAAAATCTCGAAAAATATAACCTCGAACAAATTTCTCTGTCTGTCATAATACTTGAATGTCATAATACCTCTGAATCAACTAATGCTTTTTTCTGACATTTTCTCATATCATAAAAAAAACAAGCAACATATTTCAAATGCTATACAGCGTTCGTATATTTAATTCGATTCAATTTAATAATTACGGGACACTGTCAACACAGCGATTTATTGAAATTAACCCTCTGCGCTCGATTGGCGACCCCGAGACACCGCTAAAAAATGTTTATGTCACATTGCAAAATAATTCTTACATCGAGAAAATTTAGATTTGAAAAATTGTTAAAAGTATAACTGTTGTATAAGTCGCAATACTAAATTTCACACGCATAAAATCCGCTCTGTCGTATAAAATAGAGACAGCGTAGGTCAGAAAAATCATTTTAGATTTACAGTTAAAATGGCTTCGAGTGCAAAGGGTTAATTTCTGTAAATTGAGTGCAGTTTCTATCAACAAGATATTCGAGCCGATTACGAACAACAACAAAATATAACCTGAGAGCTTTTACAATCCGGGAACACCCGTTCCAGTGCACGTTCGCAGAGCTTGTGAATCCGTCGGCGAATCTAGACACCGGCACGGCGATAGTACGGCACGCTTTCGCCGAGCTTTTCTCATTACTTCGCGAAGCACTCGTGGACTTTCGTCTTCGGATCTTTGTTAGATCCTCGGCGGGGTCGCGCGCGCACGATACTCGTCTATACAGGGTGTCCCAAAAATGTCTCGCAATCCGAAAGTGGCGGGTTCCTCGGGTCATTCGAAGCAACTTTTTCCTTTACAAAAATTTTCTCCGAGGCACCGTTAACGAGTTATTAACGAAAAACAGTGACCAATGAGAGGCGAGCTCGGCAGGCGCGAGGCGACCGAGCCAATGAGAGGAACTGGGCTTCGCGCGCCGGTTGGCTGGGCCGTCTCGCGTCAGCCGTACTCGATTCTTATTGGTCGCTGTTTTTCGTTAATAACTCGTTAACGGTGCCTCGGAGAGAATTTTCGTAAAGGAAGAAGTTGCTTCAAATGATCCGAGGAACCCGCCATTTCCGGATTGCGAGACATTTTTGGGACACCCTGTATGACGAGGATAAGAAGAGCTCGGCGCACGGCGCTCCGATGCCTGAATGCCATCGGCCCGCGAGCCGGATGCATGCTCGCTATCGATTTTGACATTCCTCGCGAGCAGCTGCGTGTATGCACGACAAGTTGAAATGAATCGGCGCGACGCGGAGTGGGGGGAGCGGCGGCGGTGTTGAAGCGTTTCTGGCTTGGGGGTCTCGTTGTGCGGCCTCGCGCGAACAACTTTCCGCCAGACGAGCTTGTTGTGTCGCCAAGATTTATGGGATCGGTTCTTGAGAGCTTTCGGATATACCGGTGGTAAATGTCCCGGCGATTGGACGACTAAGGAAAGAATTTCCGCCTATAACTCCGGTTATATCAGTGGACTCGCGGGTCTTTGTGCGTTTACGAGAAAATTGAGCGGATCGATCGCGAAACCGTAAACACATTTAGAGAATTTCGACGCGTTGCTGGATCGTGTTTGCTACCGATTGAAACGATTCGGAAGAACGAAGGATATATTTCCGTTGCTCCTGCCCGAATGAATTTTGCGTCTTTTATTTTATAATTTTGTATCGTTTTGGTTAACATTTTGTTACAATAAACCAATAAATAAAAGGCATCGCATAATAAGCTTAAGCATAATTTGTGTTATTTTTATAGTCCATTGGGAAAAATATTTTCCATAAAAATCCTAAAAAAAACTGCATATCATTATGTATTTTTCTTATGATTTTGATTTATTCTACGTCTAAACAAAACTGCTATAAATTCTTGAAATGTGCAGATTCATTTCAATTAAACGCAACGCTTCTTATGTAATAATATTGTATAATATATTGGATATGCAATAATAATTTTGTAATAATATATTACAAAATATATTGTATTTTTGTATATATAAATATATATAATATGTATTTTGTATATTTAAATATATTTGTATCATAATTTCAATTAAACGTAACGCTTCTTATGCAATAATATTGTATAATATATTGCACATGCAATAATATAATTTGTAATAATATTGTATAATATATTGTATATGTAATAATAATTTTGCGATAATATATTACAAAATATATTGTTAATAACCCCACAGGGGGTTTCATAGCTTATCAAATAAACAAAAAAGAAAGAAACGTACCCTTTCGAACGATCACGTGGGACAACGAGGAAGTCGACCGTGTACGAATAACGTGGACACTGAAATTACAAAGGTGGACCTAATCGAACGAAAACAGCGGGCCTCGAATAATGCGGCGAGATACCGAAGAACTCGTAACGCTTAACGGCATAACGACATTAATCCCCGAGATGAGACTGTATGCACAGTGATACTCTACCGTCCAAATGATAACGAAATTCCAAATCTCTCCGTACGCCGACTTCCGCTCTCGGAAACGCGCGCACGGAAACTCCTGGCTAAACCTATTCCGCTAGGAATGCGTTGCGCCTTGATGTTGCCCCACGTTTCTCTGCTCAAAGGGACCGCCGGCAACGCGAGGGCATTGTTTTAACACTGGCGAGAACTATCAAACGGGCAAAAATCATTTGTTTCGCGTTTCCGATCCGACATTCGCCGTCTACACGCTCTTTTCACAAAAAGCGGGAAAAAAGTGAGTTGCAAAAAAATGCAACATTAAAAAATAACGCATAATATATTCGCCAGTAATCAATTAAAACGTGTGGTTTCTTATTTACTACGATCTTTCTTTACCATTTGTTTATTTTGGACATGGTTGAAAATCATCCTAAATTTAAGTCATCGTTTATAACTATTCTGTTCTTTGAAGATAAATAATTTTTACAGAATTTAATTTATATTGGTATGTACTTGAATTATGTCACAGAACACATTTTTATCTCTCGCATTTTCCGAGTTATGTCCAATTGAATACGTTGAATTTTCATGGAGAGGATGTTCAATTTAATTTAATTGAAAATTGTATTTTTAAAAAATTTGTCTATAAACTATTAAAACGCTGTATTTTTTGTTTTCGTTATTCTATCGCAACGAAAACCCAAATATATGTATTAGTAATACAGGGTGTCCCAAAAATGTCTTGCAATCTGGAAATGGCGGATTCCTCGGATCATTTGAAGCAACTTCTTCCTTTGCAAAAATTCTCTCCGAGGCACCGTTAACGAGTTATTAACGAAAAACAGTGACCAATAAGAATCGAGTACGGCTGGCGCGAGGCGGCCCAGCCAACTGCGCGCGAAGCCCAGTTCCGCTCATTGGCTCGGTCGCCTCTCGCCAGCTGAGCTCGCCTCTGATTGGTCACTGTTTTTCGTTAATAACTCGTGAATGGTGCCTCGGAGAAAATTTTTGTAAAGGAAAAAGTTGCTTCGAATGACCTGAGGAACCCGCAACTTTCGGATTGCCAGACATTTTTGGGACACCCTGTATAAAATGAAAAAGCAAGGCTTGAATATATAATTTTAGTTATAATTTTAGTTTTAGTTATATTATTTTAGCTAGAATATATAATTTTGGAACTTCGATTATCCGAATTCAAAATTGATAGTTCGACTTCTCTTTATTCAAATGTTTCGAACAAAAGTTGTGCATTTATTTTTACTTACAGTATCATTGCAAAACAAAAGATACAGTTCTGTGATAAAAAAGAAAGCAAGACGACCTTTAAATAACCTTAAAAACGCCCACGTATTTAAAAACTAGTAACGTCAGTCGACTACTCGCTCGAAATATAATACTACATGACATATGTCGGTTTTGCTTTTATTCTTTTTTTCTTTTTTTTGAATGACGCGTTTATTTTTCACAGAATCAATTTAAACGGGACACCCCGTATATCGAAAGTATAAAACGTCCAAGGAACGAACGAAACGATCGCCTAATTGCGTAAAAGAGAAGTAAGAATGTTGGCCTCGCAGACACAGACACACAGACATACACAGACACATAGACAAAGTCACCGTTTCGCGCGTCGTCCCGCGGGACAGTTGCCAGACAAACGAATCGTTCGCAGCGGAGCCTGTTCCCTTGTTAATGGTGACAGAATCGCAAGAACAACTGTAAAATGCGGCAGCGTCGTATCTACGCACCGTTGCCGTATTTCTCTCCCGTCGATTATCTTCTATCGTATTTCTTACGGCCGGCTGTCGCCGCGTGCAGCTCTGTCCGTGAAACAACCGCGAGAAATATTATCGACCATTCGTTCCGTCGAACCTCGTAAACGTTGTACGGAAAAAGCGTATCATGAATCTGCCGGATCAGACCTGCCGGAAGTTCAGGAAAAAAATTGGACAAAAACACGGGAAAACCCTTCCATTTTCCGTCCCGTTTCATCCCTTGGACCTTCGTTGTTGATAGTAAAACGTAATGCCGTTTTTTAATCTCTAATCTACGATTTATAATTATAGCACTGTTGCAAATTTCAATTATTCCCGCTTCGCATCATTTTATTTATAACAACAGTAAACTTGAAATGGTAATACAGTAAAATGATTCCTGAGGTCATTTAAAGCAACTTTTTCCTTTGCGAAAATGTTGTGCGAGACTTCGTTTACGAATTATTAACGAAAACCGCTGGCTAATCGGAGAGCGAGTGCGGCCGGTGCTAGGCGCTGACGCTAGGCGGCCGAGCCAATAAGAGGGGAGATCAGCTGGCCGCGGGGTGGCCGGCGCTCCGCCCTTGCGGCCGATGCCGCGTAGCGTCGGCCGTCTAACGCAGCGGCCGTCTAACGTCACTGTTTTTCGTTAATAACTCGTAAACGAAGTCTCGTACGACATTTTCGCTAAGGAAAAAGTTGCTTCAAATGATCTCAAGAATCACTCCTTCCAGGTATTAACATAATTATAATACATCCTGCATTTATTTTCTATTATATTTTCAGGGGTTGTCCATCGCGGAGCAGTTTTATATTACAGCGACTTAATTTGGACAAATCGCCTGTAACAATACGTTGTTACAATACCAGACTGCAATTATTTATTTTATAATTTTATTGTTTATTATTATTACGATATCAGAATGTCAAAGTTATGTCGAGGTGTCATTTCAAAAATCTTAGAAAGTAGTTTCTTTTTACTTTAAAAGAGCNATCAGAATGTCAAGGTTATGACATTATGGGGCTGCAATTATGTCATAATGTATTATTATGTAATTTGGACAAGTTGCCTGTAGCAATACGTTGTTACAATACCAGACTGCAATTATTTATTTTATAATTTTATTGTTTATTATTATTACGATGTCAGAATGTCAAAGTTATGTCGAGGTGTCATTTCAAAAATCTTAGAAAGTAGTTTCTTTTTACTTTAAAAGAGCCACCCCTCTGCGCCAGGAATTGCGAACGACGCGGCAACAAGGGCGACCGGTTTCAGATAAGAAACGCGCGGGGCGAAACTTCTGTAAAGTTAAGAACGGGGAAAATAGGGGCGGGGCACCGACGGTTTTAATGACCGTTGCAATATTCACCGAACGAATGGGTCGACGGCGTTTTCAGGGTCGTCGCCAGACGGACCCCGCGATCGTACCGCCCCTATCTCGTTGCCCCTCGAAACGTCGAGTCAAGGGTGGAAAAGTTCTTCCGGGATCTTCGAATGCCGGCGGAAGTTCTGTTGCGATAGGTAAGTACCATAACAAAAAATGGCAGAAGTAAAGTATGATTTGTGAGAAAAAATAATACGCATATACAGAGTGAGCCACAAATTTTTGCAGATCGCAAAAATCCACGATTTTTCAGCCCCTTCCGATGGTCTGACAGAAAAATGTTTCTCATCAAAGTTAATTAGTATTTAACCGACAAGAAATTGCAATTGTTTAAACTTGAAAACAAATTGATTTTCGATAAAAAAAGCAAGGTCACCGTTATATCTTCAATGAAAGTAGGTAATTTTGATTTCATAGTATTGTAAGCGACGTCGAGACGAATTCAATGATATGCTGCACGACGACCTTCGGATGATATTGAAAGAAAAATATCCAAATTACCTAGTATCATTTAAAAATATAACGGTAACCTTGTTTTTTTATCGAAATTAATTTGTTTTAATATTTATATAATTGCTATTTCTTGTCGGCTAAATACCAATTAACTTTAATAAAGAACATTTGTTTGCCTGAAAAATCGTGGGGAGTAATTTGTGACTCACCCTGTATATGTACAATATATTAAGGTTAACCATAGTAAAAACTTGAAAAAATAAAGTATGATTTATAAGAGAAAATAATACATATACATATATCATATATCGTTATTAGTGTACTTTAACTTATTCGAAGCTTTAAATTAAAATTTCATTATTTAAGTTGAACATTAGTTCGAAAAAATTACGTTAGCCAAGATAGCGGTTGAAACACTGTTTTAACCCTTTGCAGACGAGTGTCGGCTAATAGCCGCCCAAGTCTTTTTACCGTTGCGGACGAGTGTCGGTAAACAGCCGCCCAAGTCTTTTTACCGTTTTTTCTTTTTTATTAATTTATTAACACTATGCCATCCGATAGCACCACGCTGGTGCCATGAAAAAACTATCTGTTGTATGCCGGTGGTAGCACTTTGGTGCCATTTTAAAAAACTGAAATAACATTTGAACTATATTTCTTGGCTGTTAAAAGGCAGCAAACTAACTATAGCATCGTGCTTATTTAACTAAGAATTAAGTACGAAAATTCTCGGATGACTTATCTTAATTTTAGGAATTTATATTACCGCCACCTTTGAAATTTTTACTAAAATCTAAAATTTCCAAGCTATTATGTCGGCGTCAAACAAAAGAATCGTATCTAAGATCTGCGGACGGCATAGCGTTAATTATTAATATAAATTTATTAATTTAACCGTAGGTTCAGAATGAATTTCAGTTCGACGAGTCAGTCTTTCTGTGTCACTACCAGAGAAACCAGCAAAGTTTTCCACATATTTATAATCTTACAATAATATAATTATATCTTATAACATTTTTATTTTATATCCAATACCTGTCGTCTACAGCGACGCAATACCCGTCGAGCGGCTTCGTCCGGAAAGGATTAAAATCGCGCGCTAGAGTGGTAACCCCCTGGGTAGAATGTAACCATGTAACACACTCTTTCTCCCTCTCTGATTGTCGATCTGTCTATCTTCCAGGTCTTTATTCAGCGTGCGACGCGGATAATTTTTGTCGCCGCGGAGACACGTAATATCTCATAGTTGTCGGCGATAAATAGAGGGACGGGAGAGGGGCAGGCGTTCTTCGAGTAATGCGGACGAAATTGAAGGTGGCCTATAACTCAAGCGAACGCGCACTCCTCGCCGAGGCGAGCTGCGCCGAGCCGAGCTGCGCCGAGTGGAGCCGAGTCGAGTCGAGTCGAGCCGAGCCGAGCCGAGCCGAGCCGCGCCGCGCGCCGTGATGTAAAGTGCTTTTAAACGCGGCCCTCCGCTCCGCTCCGATGAAAAATATCACGCCCGGCGATGATAGAGATCTAGTGNACCGTTTTTTCTTTTTTATTAATTTATTAACACTATGCCATCCGATAGCACCACGCTGGTGCCATGAAAAAACTATCTGTTGTATGCCGGTGGTAGCACTTTGGTGCCATTTTAAAAAACTGAAATAACATTTGAACTATATTTCTTGGCTGTTAAAAGGCAGCAAACTAACTATAGCATCGTGCTTATTTAACTAAGAATTAAGTACGAAAATTCTCGGATGACTTATCTTAATTTTAGGAATTTATATTACCGCCACCTTTGAAATTTTTACTAAAATCTAAAATTTCCAAGCTATTATGTCGGCGTCAAACAAAAGAATCGTATCTAAGATCTGCGGACGGCATAGCGTTAATTATTAATATAAATTTATTAATTTAACCGTAGGTTCAGAATGAATTTCAGTTCGACGAGTCAGTCTTTCTGTGTCACTACCAGAGAAACCAGCAAAGTTTTCCACATATTTATAATCTTACAATAATATAATTATATCTTATAACATTTTTATTTTATATCCAATACCTGTCGTCTACAGCGACGCAATACCCGTCGAGCGGCTTCGTCCGGAAAGGATTAAAATCGCGCGCTAGAGTGGTAACCCCCTGGGTAGAATGTAACCATGTAACACACTCTTTCTCCCTCTCTGATTGTCGATCTGTCTATCTTCCAGGTCTTTATTCAGCGTGCGACGCGGATAATTTTTGTCGCCGCGGAGACACGTAATATCTCATAGTTGTCGGCGATAAATAGAGGGACGGGAGAGGGGCAGGCGTTCTTCGAGTAATGCGGACGAAATTGAAGGTGGCCTATAACTCAAGCGAACGCGCACTCCTCGCCGAGGCGAGCTGCGCCGAGCCGAGCTGCGCCGAGTGGAGCCGAGTCGAGTCGAGTCGAGCCGAGCCGAGCCGAGCCGAGCCGCGCCGCGCGCCGTGATGTAAAGTGCTTTTAAACGCGGCCCTCCGCTCCGCTCCGATGAAAAATATCACGCCCGGCGATGATAGAGATCTAGTGTCTCGTGACAGAACGGGAACGATCTGACGGGGGTATCGGTCTGACGGCCGTCCTCCGGAATGTCCCGCCATTTTCTGTTACAGTACAGACTCTCTTATCCGAAGCTCTATTTTTTTAATATCCTGATACCGAAATATTCTATTATCTAATAATTTCTATAATTTAAAAGATTAGATAATGGAACGTTTGGACACCGGAATATTGTAAAAATAAATGTTCGAATAAGGGAGTACTACTGTGTAGCGCCGTGGTTTTACGACGCCTTTTTGACGCGCTGGGATCGAACGTCAACCCTACCGGGGTTGTAAGGCCCGGGCTTCACTTGTTTGAAGACGCGTCGGTTTTTAATGGTTATCGGTCCGATTGACCGATTTCGAATGAATGAGCGATTGAGTTCCCGAGTCGAATGAGTCTCCGGTTGCGACGAGTGAGTCTCCGAACGATTGAGACTGTTTGACGCACGAGTGAGACTCCGGATCGAGAATATATGTTTTTGAAGGCGACTGTAAGAATAATAATACTAATAACTGACTCGCCTCGACTGCTCGCGTTTTTTATACCTTTTTCCCCACTTGAGATTCTTGAAGGAACCTCCACCTCCATACCTGGACGCACTGATTGATTTTCTCGAAAATTACGATTTCCCAATCAGCGTCCTTCAAACGTTTCGTCACCACCCTCTCGTACCGTCCTGCACGGGCCTTGTCTTGAAGAGGGGTGCGACACGTAATTGCGTGGTCGGGGAGGTCCTCTGGGCTTTGAGATGTCATCCCTGCGACGGTTGAGACTAACTTTCCCAAGACGCGTTCAAAAATCTCAAGTGTTATTGCGGGANGATTAGATAATAGAATATTTCCAAAAGAAATGTTTGTATAAGGGAGTACTACTGTGTTAATATAATTTTCTTTTTTGGCTATAAATTTCTTTTCTTGCTAACTTTAATTTCGCTGGTATGCCAACATTTTTATGATATATCTAAATAATACAGTGATTAGATAATAGAATATTTCCAAAAGAAATGTTTGTATAAGGGAGTACTACTGTGTTAATATAATTTTCTTTTTTGGCTATAAATTTCTTTTCTTGCTAACTTTAATTTCGCTGGTATGCCAACATTTTTATGATATATCTAAATAATACAGTGATTAGATAATAGAATATTTCCAAAAGAAATGTTTGTATAAGGGAGTACTACTGTGTTAATATAATTTTCTTTTTTGGCTATAAATTTCTTTTCTTGCTAACTTTAATTTCGCTGGTATGCCAACATTTTTATGATATATCTAAATAATACAGTGATTAGATAATAGAATATTTCCAAAAGAAATGTTTGTATAAGGGAGTACTACTGTGTTAATATAATTTTCTTTTTTGGCTATAAATTTCTTTTCTTGCTAACTTTAATTTCGCTGGTATGCCAACATTTTTATGATATATCTAAATAATACAGTGATTAGATAATAGAATATTTCCAAAAGAAATGTTTGTATAAGGGAGTACTACTGTGTTAATATAATTTTCTTTTTTGGCTATAAATTTCTTTTCTTGCTAACTTTAATTTCGCTGGTATGCCAACATTTTTATGATATATCTAAATAATACAGTGATTAGATAATAGAATATTTCCAAAAGAAATGTTTGTATAAGGGAGTACTACTGTGTTAATATAATTTTCTTTTTTGGCTATAAATTTCTTTTCTTGCTAACTTTAATTTCGCTGGTATGCCAACATTTTTATGATATATCTAAATAATACAGTGATTAGATAATAGAATATTTCCAAAAGAAATGTTTGTATAAGGGAGTACTACTGTGTTAATATA